TTATGTCATTTGCATCAACTCTGGGTTCTCACAGACTGTCAGTGAAGCACATGGCACAGAAAATACTAGAAAGACTTTGAGTGCAGACCCAGCACAGCCTGGATGCCTGTTGCCTGAGGACCTGCCAGCCAATTTGGAAGCAGTTCATCACTAGAATAGCCACAGAAGGATGGAGCCACGGCAACTTTCAAAGGCCATCTTCACATTGAGGGAAGGGCCAGATGTTGATTTGACATGGAAAGATTGTGTACTCTGACCAACTGACAGATAATTGAAGTAGTATATAGAAAACACAATGCACTGTATAGTAAACCTAAGTATGATAAATACATAACATACAAAATACCTATGGGGACAGTTGAAGGCTCTGTGATTTCAACAGTATAAGGAAATTCCACTGTGAGAACTCTGTCTGCCAACATAGATTGCAACCTATGACAATAAATAAATATGAGGGAGTTGTTAAAAGCACATAGAATTTTAGTGACTTCCCTGGGCTCATACAACTAGTTAATATTATAAAGCAAGATTTGAACCTAGATCTTCCTGACTCCAAGCTCAGCACACTCTCCACCACATGATTCTGTCACGTCACTTAGCATCCTTGAGTCTGAAAATGAGAGGTTGGTTTGGATGACCTCCATGGTCCTTTCCAGATCTAGAGTGATGCTGTAAAATATGTGATGTATATAGCCTATATTTTAGATTTTATGACATACAGGAGTACCTTTTTTGAATAAGAGATTTCACTTTTCCATTTCTGTAAATGTGGAAATATTTTAGCTAGTAGGTGTACTTTATAATGGCTGTGTAGAATGTTTGATTGCCATTACAAAGAGCAGTGAGTCACCTAATTGTAGAAACAAGTTTAAATATTACCAAATGAAGTGAGCTTTTGCCTAAAGGCTTAGGAATAATTAGAAAATGAGGACAGTGCCTTTATCCTAGAGGTGACTAATGAACCATAACTCTCTTTTCTTGGTAGAGAGGTGGGAGATTAAGGGTGCAGAATGCTGCACACAGTATCAGACACCATTTTATATCTACCTTTTTTTTATTACAAGCGAGGAGTTATAGATGTGGGGGGCTGAGGTGGGGAGAGGTATTTCTATCCAGAAATGACAGTGATGAAATCCAGAGATATTTTTAAAGGATTTTGAAACATTTTTTAAAAACAGATTTCTTTGAGAAAGTGAGAAAGACATAGAGAGAGAGAGAGGGAGAGAGAGAAACAGAGACAGAGACAGAGAGACAGAGACAGAGATGTCAGCTTTAAAATAAGCAAGCATGTAATAAATCTTGGGAGAATTTGAAAAGGCTTCTTTTTAATTTTTTTCAAAGGTTTGACTATTTCTAACTTCATGCTCCAAAAAAGTCTTTTTTATATCATTGTAAACAATCGATTGCTCACAAAAGAATCTCCTGTGAGGCACATATTTCCTAGGCAAATCAACTTTCTTTTACTCATTTAATAAAATTTTTAGTCAAGTCATTAAGCAGGCAGTTGGCTGGATTAGGCACTGGAAGCAGAAAGTATGTGTGTGTGAGTACTTAAGGGTATCAGAGCTTTCATATGCAGGTGTACCTTGTAAACTGGTTTCTGAAAGTGGCAGCAGAGATAAGACTCTGTATTGCAAAGAATGCTGGAATAAAAGCTTAGAAACCTCGGGTCTGTTTTCTATTGAGGCACTAGATAGCTAAGTGGTCTTGGGGGTAAGACCCTTCTGCCCCTGGGTCTCAGAGGGGCTCAGGGTCATCGAATGCTGCAAGTAGAAAGCTTAAAAATCCAAGGAGGAGGAGAATTGAGAAAAGGGCTTAGTTCTGCACATTGTTTAAACCAAAATTTAATTCGAAGGAAACTCTGGCGAATTTGAATTGCAGTGATGGACCTTTTCCTAGCATGTATTGCCTCATAGATTTTCTCTCTGCCCTGATTCTTCCCGGTGAAATTCATGTCAATGCTCTGGGAACCTTTCTGCCTTTATTCTTGTAAAGGAATAAGTAAAGTGTCATTTTATACCTATGATAATGTGGCAGCTAGATGGCTCAGCAGATAGAGCGCTAAACCCAGAGTCAGGAAGACCTGAGTTCATGGCCTCCTTCAGACATATAATAACTGTGTGACTACGGACAAATCATTTGACCTACCTCAATTTCCTCCTCTGTAAAATGGGTATAATCATGGTACCTACCTCCTAGGGTGGTTGTGAAGAACTAGTGAGATTGCCTCTGTAAAGTTCATTGCAAACCTTAAAGCACTGTATAAATTATTTTATAATATTATACATATATATATATTATTTTAGATACTAAATTTTTGAAGGACATTAATTATCTGCTCTCTGGAGAGCAGCCAGAGGACAACCAAGGCAGTTAAAGTCCCTAGTCCATGCCATAAGAGAATAAGTTGATGGAACTGATGACTTTTAGCTGGGTAAAGAAAAGCTATAGCTTGAGGGAAGGGGGTGGATATGTTTACAGTTGTCTTCAAATATTTGAGGAGCTGCCACATAGAAAGAAAAAGGGATTCAGCTCAATCTGCTTGTCTGCAGAGGTGAAACTAGGAGCGATAAGCAGAAGTTGTGAAAAAGCAAGTTTTCAATTCCAAATAATTAGAGCTGTCCCCAAATCCCAAAGTGGGAAGGAATGTCTTAGGAGGTAGTAGGCTCCCTCTCAATTGAAATCTTCAAACAAGGGCTGGGTGTGTTGTTGGGGATTTGGGGGAAGGGATTCTCAGGCAGGTATAGATTGGATCGTGAATTTTTTTTTAAATCCCAAGATTTTCCCCAACTGAGAGTTTCTTTGACTCTCGAATTACATATGCCAACTTTTACCTCAGATATGTTCAATAGATAGGTAGGTGATCGATAACATAACTAGATAGGTAGATAAAGAGATAGATGATAAAGTGAGGGAGCATTTATTGAGTGTTTATTATATGCTAGGCACTGTGGCAAATGCTGGGGATAAAATGATAAGTAAGCATAATACCCCACCCTCAAGAAACTTACATTCTAATAATAGAATGGGATAGGATGGAAGGATACACTCCCAGCAAAATGGTTTGGAAAGGGTGCATAGGAAATTACATAGATTACTAGTTTGGGGCAAGATACGGAGAAAGCTCAGCTATCAAAGCCTGGTGTTCTAAAGGAAGAGCCTAAGGATCTAGTGGGGGCTATTATGATGCTGATGTCTATATGCAAGGTATAGACATGGAAAATTACAGTGGAGTCCTGGTTCTGACCTACATCATGTAAAAGCACCGTTATTAACCTTTGTATCCTTGGAGCAGAGTCTAAGTTTCCTGGGACAGAGGGGCATGGGAAAGATAGGGATGATGGTTGGTGTGTCCTTAAGGACATTGGAAGATACATAGCAATGACTCTACTACTATATGAATAAATGCTCACTTATTATTAAGTGGATTAGAATGTTTAGTCCCTACAATGGTGGTCCCACCTTGAGCCAAAGTGAGTGGTTAACCAAAACCACTTGGGAATTTTGGTAATGAGCTAAATCTTTTAGGACCTCTAGTCATTAGGACAAATTGGTTTTCTGTTCTGTGTTATCTGGCTTGATGACTCCATCTATTAGTGTTGACTTTATCCATGGAGTTTTTAGGATTTTCTATGTGATTTCTCAGATTCAGCATGGCATCATGGATTGAGAGTCCAGAAGTCAGGAATGCCTATGTGCAAATTCCACCTGTGAAGCTCATTAGTAAGGCACTCTGTTTCCAAGACAACCATGTAGGATTTAGGTACTGGGATACACACAGGTTACAATCTATGTTAGTAGGGGGTTGACCACCACTGGAGATCTTCAAGCACAAGATGACTGACCACTTGTACGTGTAAGAACAAGAATTCCTTTCATGTATGGATTGCTCTAGATGGTAGCTGAAGGCTCTTCTAACTAGCAGATTCTGTGATGCTGTGATGGTGTTAACACTTTAGGACTTTCTCATGCTGAAAGAGTAACAAATCTTTTGTAGATTTGTATATCGTATTCCTACAAAGTCAGATCTTTCTGCCTTGCTCCATCAATTATTTGAATTCATTAAAAGAACATTTTAGTCTAAATAAATTAATTTATTTGGCCCAATTCACTATAGCAATCAAAAGTATTAGCAAAAAGAGATGATACTTCAAAACTCCAGTGGATCAGTCATCTTATCATTATGATATTGCCTGCAATGATGTGTATCAAAACCTACTCATGCCTACCCATGGACTTTTGTCCATTTCCTCTGATAGATTCACTGCAAGGGGTCAGCCCAAAAGGATGGGAAGAGGCCTTCCTTGTTTTCTCCTGTCATCAAAGGAATTCTAATCTATCCTGCAGACTGTCCATTAGTTATTCCTAATCTTACCACCTCAACAACTAATACAAGGATGATGCATTGTGGCACAGTGGATAGAGTTTCTTGGCCTGGAGTCAGATTAGACCTGAGTTCAACTCCAGCCTTAGATACTTACTGCATGACCCTAAGCAAGTCACAACTCCAGTTTGCCTTGGTTTCCTCATCTGTAAAATAGAGATAATGATAGCACCTATCCCCTAGAGTTGTTCTGAGGCTCAAAAATATATATGCAAAGTGCTTAGCACAGTGCCTGGCACATAGTAGGTACTATATAAATGTTAGCTATTATAATTGTTATTTGGAATCAGAGGACTCGCATTCAAATCCCAGCTCTGAGTGACTTTGAGTAAGTTTTTTGTTTTTTTGTTTTTTTTTTTTGTTTTTTTAGTTTCTGGCTCTCAGTTTCCTCATATGGAAAAATTAGAGGATTGAACTATAAAACTTGAAGTTCTTTCTAGCTCTTAAAGATTATGACCCTTTGATTTTTTGGGGGGTTCATATATTTCCTTGACAATGTCCTTTATACCACTACTTTGTAATTATCAGCTGTTAATCTGTCGCAAAAACAATAGTAAAAATAAATATAAACATCATAGGATGCACTAAGAATTTTTCTCCCTTTTATTTTTTTCAGGTTTCTTGAGTACTGGAGATCAAGCAGCGAAAGGGAATTATGGACTCCTTGATCTAATACAGGCTCTAAGATGGACTAGTGAAAACATTGGATTCTTTGGTGGTGACCCTTTGAGAATCACCGTTTTTGGATCTGGCGCTGGGGGGTCATGTGTCAACCTGCTGACTTTATCCCATTATTCTGAAGGTAACCGTTGGAGCAATTCAACCAAAGGTATTATGCCGGTTGCAAATTTTGACAATTTTGGTGTCTGCATGCCACCGCCATTGGTATTCTGTGATGCTATGTATCTACTTTTCTGTTCATACTGAGTGTAAAGCACTGCTCACTAACAGTCAGACCTGTGATGGGCACATTCTCAAGTTTTTCTATGCATGTTGAAATTTCAGGTGTCAAACACTTTTCTTCTGTCTCCTGCAAAGCTTGGAAAAGAGACTTTCTTAGATGGATTCCAAATGACACAAATCTAGTCATCATTCTGCTCCCCCATCTTACCCCAGCAAAGCATGCCTTTTAGGGACATCAGAATAGACAGTTCCCTGTTTTGTTACTACATCCAGTAAACCTAGGCAAGCTTTTGAGAAAGCAAGAGGATCGATTTTGACAGATGCTTAAAAGCCTTCAGCACAGTGGATAGCCCCCTTGTGGTGAACTTATGGAAGGACATATACCAAAATCACACAGATGGATAGGCATGGATGAGTTGCAATCTCCATCACAAAAGGGAATTCCCAAATCAATGAAATGATAGATCCATTGAAGTGTTTGAGATGCTAGAATTATCTCTCTTTTTTTAGCATAAAGGTCAAAATTAGGCTCTAAATAGTTTGTCTGAATTCACATAGTTTTCAGTTATCATCCAAGAAGAGAATGTTTGATTATTTTGCATGCATGATCCAAAATTGTCAAAGCATCCAGGTTATAAGGGGAACTTTTGATATTTTTTCCACACACATTTTATCTTATACTTTTTTTTCCCTATTTTCAACTCCAAAGATGTTACTCCCCTTGCCACCCCCCTGAAGTATGGAGAAGGCAGGGAACATGGAATATCCATGAAGCATTTTTCCTTCCATTAGCAGGTCTCACCACCCTCCTCTTCTTAAATAAAGGTGTATTCCCAATCCAATCACACTACTATTGAATATTTTTTCCATTTTACCATCACTGAAAATTCAACCCACATCTAGCTGGTCTCATTTGAAATAACAGAGAAGACATAGAAGAATACTGTTGGTGAAGTCTCTCTCCCTCCTTTCTTAATCATTCTCTGCTTCTCTCTCTCATACATACACATATACACAGATTCATATACAACCACAAACTTTATAACTCTATATGTATATATGCACTTATATAATTATGTTCCTTTATATATAATTATATGCATATACATAAATATGTATACAGAGAGAGAATAAGATAAAGAGAATATCTTAATGTAATGTCATTTCACTCTTCTGTATTACAAATTTATGAAGCTAAGACCCAATAAGGTGCTTAAATGCTGGGCTTAATTTATGAAGCATATTTATTGGTAAAGTTAAAGTTTACATGAGAGAAGACAGAGTACCTGGTTTTGTGTGGTACCACAAATTTCCTCATGTGGAATTACAGGAAGGTAACTGGTCATCAACTAAATGTATGTATTCAGTGAATTGTCTATTGTTTGAGCCATAATTTGTTCATATGTTTTATGTAAAATCATCATTGACTTTATTGAGATGTTAATTGGGAGTGGCAACACCTGTTAGAAATTCTGATTATTACTACAATGTTTGTGTCTTTAATAAGACAGTGTCTTTCTAAAGAATGAAAAGGTCCTCTTTAGAAAACTTGTTTTTCCAGGCCACACTAAATCTACTGCTTAACTGCATTTAAATGAAGGAATAATTTCTTGACTTTAGTATTATTTGACTTCAAAAATTATTTTCCAACTTGCCTGCTAAAAATTAGAGAGGAAACTAAAGATAAGCTGAGAACTCATTCCATTAAAAACAAAACAGTTGAAATGAATGGAGTGAAAAATAGATCCAAACCCAGTCTCACTGTTAATAATACATTCCTACTCCCATGCCGGGCTAATTGACTGGCACCAAAACTATTTGAATACTTCAATGATTAGACATAATGTTGGCCAATTGTTCCCTTTGTGACTTAGTAGGTGGTCTTTCACCCATGACCATTCTAGTGAAAAGCCTCTCCAAACTTAGTTATGCTGGCCCTTGGACATCCATCCAAAACTGAACCTGTACAAATTTTTTTTTCCAGCTTGGTAAAGTCTTCCAGAGCTTGGGAACAACTGACATTGCCCTGGAGAATCCAGAGATACCCCATGGCATTTTGAGGCATGAGAACCTCAGTAATGGAACTAAAAATTATTCTTAGAATACTCCTTAGTAGTATCCCAATACTCAGATAACAAGAATGGGATATAAGCAACACACAGCTTTGTTAAAAAGCAGCTTGCTATACCATATTATCGGTTCTACCACTGATTAAATCATGCCTTCATGAAATGGAATGTATCTTTTTCATTATAAAATTGAGAGGCTACAAAATGAGCGTTTTCATTGGCCCCCAAAACAAGCTGTTATGATGTCCTATTGAAAATGGCATTCTTAAAACTGTTTTCCTATATTCTATAAAACTTTCTCACCCTAGGTTAAGAGATTATACATCTCCACATATTAAAATTATGTCAAACCAACTCCTATAATATGACAGATGACATGATGTCACAAATTTTGGATGCTGCCACATCCACGTTTTGATTCTACATGGTCTATTGAGTTTTTCATATTAAACATGTTGTCTATCTTAACCTAGAGGGGTTTTGAAATTACTCAGCAGTATTACTCAAGAATATTTCAGCACTTGAGAAATTAACACATTTAATTTTTTGAGAATTGTTTGTATTTTGTTTGCACAAATTAATTTGTACAAAATGACTTATTTTGGAGCTGATGCTGTAGAGTACTTGACTTTTAATGTTACTTTTTTGGCATGGTATAGTGGAGATAACAGATTTAGGGCTGACTGGAATCAGAAGACCTGGTTCAAATCACGCCCTTCTCACTTCCTACCTCTATGATCTTGAGCAAAATACTTAGTATCTCTAGCCTCACTTTCCTCATCTGTACAAATCGGGAGTAAGATTGAATGAATAAGGGACTTCTTGGGCTCCCTGCATATCTGAATCTATGAACTTCATGATTCAAAATCTAGATCAAGTTGGAAACATGTTTTAGCACAGGCTTATCCCAAATAACATTAACCCATCCAATATTCCACACTAATGGTCCTTAAGACACCACAATTGCACCACACCAAAATGTTCCCACCCACACTTAACATCATTAAACCCCCTTTCTGGAAGACTCTGCTTCCTGCTCCTTGTTCTCAAATAGAATAACAATAGATATCTCTGAGTCATTCAACTCTGCTCTTAAGCAACAGACTTGTCCCCAGTAATGTCATTTCACCTTGCCTTGTTCTGGAACTAATTTACTATATTAATTCAATTCAATTCTAATCCAGCAATGTATTTACTAAGTGCCTAGCTCCTCAGACAAGTGGTAACCAAAGTGGATACAAAGACAAATTTTAAAAAGAAACAGTCCTTGCCCTCAAGGAAATTACCTTCTACTTGAATTTAATTCAACAAATATTTGTTAAACACTTATTGCATAAAAGGCTAGGCACTGCCACCCACTTACAGGCTATACCTCAAGATTTCAAAAAATCTAAACAAACTTAAATGATTTCCTGTTAGACATTATGATTTTTTTCCTAAAATAAATATAGGAATACATTATAGATTTTTGTATTCAATTTATTTGTTTTGAAAAATAAATTTTTGAAAGGTTGGTTCTAATTTTGAATCTTTTAGTATCCTTGTGAAGAGTTCTCAGCTCATTTGCATATGCTAATAATTGAGATCTAGTATCCCCATCAGAAAGCAGTACTTTGAACATTCAGTAAAATGTATTTTTTTGTTTTTCCTTGAAAGCATATGCTCTTAAATTATATTTTAAAGCAAGAACTTCATGAAAAAAGATCTTAACTGGTAGATAAGTCCAATTAGGGATTTTGCATATTATGTAACCTTTCACCAATGGCTCATAATCCCTAAGAACAAGTTAGTGTAAAACAGTATATGGGATATTTCTCATTCTTCATTCTAGAAAATGATATTTTATACCCAAGACACTAGCAAATTGAATCGCCTTCATGAAATCATTGGCCTTGATTTTGACATAGTCACAACATTCTGGCAACACAAATTCTTCTGATAGACATTTAGCTTAGAATGTCTAAGATATGTAATTGAAAAGACTGCACCTCCAGGGTTATCACCAGGGAGAGTCCCTCCTTGGGCCCTAAAGCTAATCAAAGGTGTCGGCCCTACCACCTTCCTATGCAGGTAAAAATATGTTTAGAAAGGAGCTTAGAAGCGGAGTAAGAAGCAGCCATAGGTGAGGATACATCCCAAAAGGGCAACAGGCAGCCACAGGTTGTATGTTGTCAGGAAGTCAGTACCAGTGCCACCCAATTTTACCTTGGCTTTGGTTGGTGCAGGGAGTTTAGTGCAGATTGGAAAATTACTTGCTCAGGTCTAGAAAGCACCACTTCTGTTCCTTTTCCTCCTTCTGTTCCCAACTTTCTTGATCTCACAGCCCAACCTCCTCCCTTTTACCCATCTCAAAAAAAAAATAGGGCTCTGGGACATCACCTGTTTTACTCTATGTCCTTTCTTTGCTCTAATAAGCTTTAATCTAGCAACATGTCTACTGAGTGGACACTGAAGATTTGGGAGAAATTTTATATATGCTTTTGACTCTTACAAAAGACAGAATTCGATTTTATTAGCCGTTGTTTTATCATAACTATTCAAAATGTTTGAAGGTCATCTCAATCTTCTTTGTTATTTTCTCATAGGACTCTTTCAACGGGCAATAGCTCAGAGTGGAACAGCCCTCTCCAGCTGGGCTGTTAGCTTCCAGCCTGCAAAATATGCCAGGATGTTGGCTACAAAAGTTGGCTGCAACATGTCTGATACTGTAGAGCTAGTTGAATGTCTACAGAAGAAGCCTTATAAAGAACTTATTGACCAAGATATCCAACCAGCTCGATACCACATAGCCTTCGGACCAGTAATTGATGGTGATGTAATACCAGATGACCCTCAAATATTGATGGAACAAGGGGAATTTCTCAACTATGATATAATGTTGGGTGTTAATCAAGGGGAAGGGTTAAAATTTGTTGAAAATATAGTAGATAGTGAAGATGGGATTTCAGCTAGTGATTTTGACTTTGCTGTCTCCAATTTTGTTGATAATTTATATGGATACCCTGAAGGCAAAGACGTTTTGAGGGAAACTATAAAATTTATGTATACAGACTGGGCAGACCGACATAATCCTGAGACTAGACGCAAGACGCTATTGGCTTTATTTACTGACCATCAGTGGGTGGCACCAGCAGTGGCTACAGCAGACCTTCATTCAAACTTTGGTTCACCTACATACTTCTATGCCTTCTACCATCATTGCCAAACAGATCAAGTCCCAGCTTGGGCTGATGCAGCTCATGGAGATGAGGTTCCTTATGTGTTGGGAATTCCCATGATTGGTCCTACAGAGTTATTCCCTTGTAATTTCTCAAAAAATGATGTGATGCTGAGTGCAGTAGTGATGACTTATTGGACAAATTTTGCTAAAACTGGGTAAGTACCATGTAAGAGAATGAGTTTAAATTTTAATTTAATGGTAGCATCCTCTTCTTAATATTTAAGAACAAATAATGTTCTTTTCAGCAAAAGAAAAAGAAAATCCATATGGTTCTGTATTGCAAATGTAATGAGACAGGGTATAATTCTCATTTAAAATAGAAGGAAACATTTTCTCCAGGGGAAAAAAAAGGAAGAAAGAAAGAGAAACTTTGTGCCTTTTTCAAAATTATGATTTGCCTTTCTTTTTTTTTTTCATTTCAGAACTATTTTAACAAATCATAATGGAAGGAAATACTTTTTTCATAGAAAACATAAACTACTCTAGATTTTGAAAGACATTGAGGGAACATGTATTCTACTAGACTAATTGCAATTTTGTAGTTCCTCTTTTGGAAGCCAAGAAGAAATGATGATTGAATTACAAGTAAAAACTAGGTTAAGTTTTTCTTATTCCCAGGCATACATGAGTCTACTACAAAATGAGTTAAAGGATCTAGAAGAATTTAAGGATTCTTATTTTAAGTAAAGTATTAACCCAAATTAACCTTTTGCCTGCCTTTGGAGTTCTACTTCTCTTGATAGAATGTAAGGTCTTTGAGGACAGGAACCCTTTCATTGTATCTCTAGCACCAGCACAGTGCCTGGCATATAATGGTAGGCACATGTACTTACTGATTTATGCCAAAACTGATTCACATCATTGTAAACCATGACTTTGCATATGAAGTCTTGATTATGGTTACTTCTGAAGTGAGATAACATAATTATTTTGAATATTAACATTGCCAATCCAGTTCTCAATTACTGTAACATATCCTCTCTCTCTCTCTCTCTCTCTCTCTCTCTTTTTAAATTCCCATAGTGATCCAAATCAACCAGTCCCTCAAGACACAAAATTTATCCACACAAAACCCAACCGTTTTGAAGAAGTAGCATGGACCAGATATTCACAGAAAGATCAACTCTATCTCCATATTGGATTAAAACCAAGAGTAAAAGAGCATTACAGGGCCAATAAGGTGAACCTCTGGCTGGAGCTGGTACCTCATCTGCACAATCTCAATGATATTTCTCAGTATACCTCTACTACAACTAAAGTGCCCTCAACTGATATTACCTTCAGGCCAACAAGGAAAAATTCTGTACCTGTCACATCAGCCTTTCCTACAGCCAAGCAAGATGATCCCAAGCAGCAACCCAGTCCATTTTCCGTTGATCAACGGGACTACTCCACAGAGTTGAGTGTGACCATCGCAGTTGGGGCATCTTTGTTATTTCTAAACATCTTGGCCTTTGCCGCTCTCTACTACAAGAAGGATAAGAGGAGACATGATGTTCACAGGAGATGTAGCCCTCAACGTACAACAACCAATGACCTTACCCACGCACAAGAAGAGGAGATAATGTCCCTCCAAATGAAGCACACAGACTTGGATCATGAATGTGAGTCTATCCATCCACATGAGGTGGTTCTCCGGACCGCCTGTCCCCCAGACTACACGCTAGCTATGAGGAGGTCTCCTGACGATGTTCCCTTAATGACCCCCAACACCATTACAATGATTCCCAACACTATACCAGGAATCCAGCCCTTACACACGTTCAATACATTTACTGGAGGACAGAACAATACTCTGCCCCATCCCCACCCCCACCCCCACTCACATTCAACAACCAGGGTATAGCCAGACAAGATGAAACAAACTCTATTTTTTGATGGATTACAGTAAGCAATTACTGGGGATTGCTTGGCTTTCAACCTACAAAGACTTACTATTTAAATAAGGAGGAATATTATGTGAATATACATATCAAGAACTTTTGAGGTTTTGAAAAAAAATGAATTGTATATAGTTACACAAATGAACTTTAAAAACTGATCTCGATTGCTTGAAGCAGTTGTTCTGAATGATACTTTTTCATTCGCATTCAAGTATTAATTTTTTGAAGATTTAAGTTACATAATGGAATTAGGCATGTGAAAACACCAAACAGGAAAGAACTATGACTGAAATTTAAGAACAAAAAAAAATCTATAAATATGCACAAGGGACACACTAATGGAATGTCAGATAATTTTCACCAGTTTTTATTTGGAACTGTTTTCTTGTGTAGTCCATATTTACTTATTTGGATAAGTACACAAAACACCAGTGCTGTTAACGGCCTTAGTAGAGCAAGGCTCATGCTGAAACCTGCTGATCAAACAGCAAAGTGAAGCCTGGCAGGGTCAACATTTTCACATAAGTGCTGTCAGTATAAATTGGTGGGGGATCAAGGAAACTGGGGTTTTTAGCACGACGTGCATGATCATTGATATGCTTGGTGGCTGTGTTGCTGATTAAGCTGCAATTAAAATTCTTCTCATCCCACTGGAATTTTTTCATAGAAGCTTCCTCCATCAATTGGCAGAATCCAAAGAAGATTTCTTAGGGGGCAGAAGTTATTGCAATAGAATAATTTAGAGTAGCTTCAGGAATAAAAGGTGTTAGTTATGAAAGGTAGCAGATGAAACTATAGGGATAGGGGTGAACACTCACTGATTTGAATCCCAGAGAGAAAACAAACAACTTTCTGTATTTTTAATGTTCTTTTATGTTTTCATCTAAATAATTTATAGACATATTACCCAAATGGGACTTGTGTTGAAGGATTTATAATTTGCCGTGCTTTGGTTAAAACTGTATTTCGTTCCTCTTGGTAAGGTGAAGTGTGTCCAAAGATTTATTTACAATGGTATTTTATGATATAAGGATGCCCCAATATTGCCACTCTGATTACAGCTCTCGATTCTTGATTTACTCATGTTGCATGACAAAATGTTTACTAATACTATTTCGATAAAAAGTCACGTCCCTCCTCGCATTTCATATCGTTATCACTGAAGTCCATTGACCAGAATTTGCTGATGAGATCTCTAGCTAGCATCCAGTGTAGATAGAGAGGTTAGAAAAGAAGAGTCACCCAAACTGGAGGGTTTTCGTCATTCCTGTATGTGTGATTTTCGGCAATTGTTCTAAGATCACAGGAAACTCTCCATTCCCCCGTTGTTTACCAGTACCAGTATATCACAGACCTTTCCAAATGTTTGTATATGTAATCAGATGTACATTTATATTAAAAGAAAAAAAATGAGATGGACTTAAGAGCACATCCCTGATAAATACTTTCTCTCTGACCTGTACTATATTTCTATTAGACTAAAGTTATGTGATTTTTTTTTACATTTTTTCAGATTACTAGCAATTTTGATAGTTTGTAAGATAATGCAAAGAACTTTCTCTGACAAACTAACTGCAGTAACAGAAACATTTCTTTTTCAGTTACTCTTTTTCAAGAATGAAAGCTTATTACACACACAAAAAAATTGTATACTACTTAATGGAAATTACTTTGTACTTCCTGGCCATGTTCCTGGTCACTGAGTGAAATAAAGATAATCTGGATAATGATTATTATTCCAATGCTAAGAGACCTGAATCTTTGCTCATTAAAGAGCTAAAATGTTCCTTGCTGTTTTGTCATTTTTTTAAAACAAAAATAAGGATGACAGCTTAATGAGTCACCTCTCTAGACTAGTCAGATTTTTGAAGACCACCATGTGACTTCTACAAGTCAATTCAATTCTACAAACATTTAGTGAATGCTTCCGGTGTCTGAAAAAGAACCTGGGTTGGGTGCTGGGTATGCAAAGACTAAAACAAAATGGTCCTTACCCTCCAACAGCTTATACTGTAACATGTAAACCTATGAATAAATATCAAATATGTGCAAAATAATACAAACTCACTGGAAAGGGGAGAAAGTGTTAGTCACTGGGAAAAGGGCATCAGGAAAGGACTCATGGAAGAGGTGGCATACAAGCTGTGCTTTGAATAAAGCAAGGAATTCTAACAAAGCATAGGCGAGGAAGGAATGAATGCATATTAGATAATGGAAGATATCCTGGGAGACCGGGCACATTGAATGCAGTTCCTCATAAAAAGCTTAAGGTGATGAACTTATTACCCTCAAAAAGCATATATGGCACAGGTCTTCTATTGTTCAGATCTTTGTTATTGAAACAAGTTAATGTATTCCTAACTAGAAATATGATGAAATAAAGACTCCATTTTTGGTCATCTGAGAAGAGGCTGAATGGAAATAAATGGCCTCTGTTTTGTGGAATGGAAATGGCCTGGTTCATAATAGGAGGGCGATTAAAGTTTCATGTCATAATGGATCAAACGTTATCCTTCTAAGAGGATCTATGAGTGCTGAGAAAGACATTAAAACTGACACTAAAAGATAAAGCTCACCATTTTGCACATTTCCTTTACTTTTTAAAGCTTTCTCAACCGCCACCCCCCCAAAAAAGTGTATGAACCATTAGGATTTTGTGTGTACATGGTTCCCTAATTTTAAATGAAAATTTCCAGTAGCAGTATCAAATGAAAACCTGTCTTCAAAATCCAGAATGGTTCCTATGCAATGATTGTCTGATGTGGTTGTGCATTTAGACTGTGAACTATCCCTGTGAACAAATCAAGAGAACTGCTTGCCATCTGAAATACTGATTCATAGGAAGAATGCATTTTTCTATGTTCATTATACAAAAGAATAAAAATGAATGCAAACTTTGAAGACCATAACATGAGATCTGAGTAAATAAACATGATTTTTGTGGGGTTTTTTTTTGTAACTTTGGCAGAACTAAAGTCACATTCTGTTATCTTTTAATGGTGGCTATATATCCATGCCTCACAATCTAGCTGCCTATTAATCTCTATACATTCATGTATCATGTCTGATACCTGTTTTACTTTTCTTATTAGGGGAAGAAATGGTTTAGAATAACAAAGTATGATCCTATAGTTTTCTTCTTTTGGATTTTTTTTATTTCTGTTTCCCTAGAGTATCATAATTGTACTAGATAAAAATGGCATAAATTCATCAGTTGTTTTTAAAAATCTACGAGTTGCAGGTATGGTGAATAAGATTGCAGCTGCTTGGTTATACTGACAGCCATGAGTTTACTGCCAGTAAAATGGTGTCCCAATTGAATAGGACTTTAAAGATGTTTTTAAAGCTGAAACACAAATAGGAAAGTAAGGAATATTTTGAATACTTTAACATTCAAATGAATTTGTGATATCAATGCTAAAGCTATTTCCTCCAATGAAACAGATTGGAACAAATTATTATGCTTTAATTCATTTAATAATAATTTTCATTTGAGATCCATTTGTTTAGATTTGTTTTTACTAAATAAAAAGAGAAAGAAATTAAAAAAAAGTGGATCAAGAGTAGTCAAATAACGTATTGAATGTCTTATTGAATTTAACTGGATCCGAGTTTCTTCCCTGTTTCATGGTATCTAGACCTGGAAGGATCCTTCGAGGCCATGGAGACTAACCCTTTCATTATACAAATGAGAAAACAGGCCAGGAGAAGCTAAGTGACTTGACTAGGGTCACATAGTCACTAAGTGTCCGAGGCAGGATTTGAACACAGGTCTTCCTGACAAGTATAGCTAGTCAGTCAAAAAGCATTTATTAAGAGCTTACTGTTTGTCCAGCATTCTGCACAACTTAAGTGCACAAGCCTCTCTATTCATTTCTCTCTGCTGCCTCTCAATGAGATTCAAGTTCAGATAAACAGGACTATTTAGAAATGGAGTTCAAAATTTATGCCAAATAAAATATTGCTTTTGTTTCATTTTTTCTTTATAATATCCATTTATTTTCCAAAATATACCAGAAGATTTTAGAGATTACTTTTCAATGTTCAGGTGGGAATAAGAAAGAGTCGATTTTTTTTATGTTTTCTTTTGCTTTTGCTGATTATGCTAATGATTCAGAGTATAGTTTCAAGTAGCTCTGATCCTGAAACAATGGTAGGCATATGGTTTCAACTGGTCCTTTGGATACAAAAGAGCTAAATTACCCAGTGTATAACCTGTAGAGTCTGAACTTGCAATTCAGGGTTGGAAAGCTGAGTAAAACCATGGTGTTTTACTCATTCCTGGTTGTAAATGTCCAGGCTAGATGTAATGTTCTATCTATGTATTTTAAGTGGCACATTTTGAAGTTAGCTGCATAAAAAGGAACTAAGCCATCTATATGTCATTCCTTTCCTATAGGTAAACATGATGGGATAATTTGTTGTTTACACTCTAAAAAAAACCTTACTTCTCCAATGGTTCCTCTTTTAATGAGTGTATCATTTGTGTATATATGCCAATATGAAGAATGGCATTCCTGACCAAGTGAAAAGGACCTGAAGATGTTATCAGTGTATTGGATCTTTAAATACAGTGCTATATATGAATATGAATTACTGGAATTGTTTGCCTTGGCAAGTTTCACTGAAATATTTTTAGAGGCAAAATGGCCAAAGGAATTCATAGGAAGCTGTCAACCATCATGGCAGCTCTTTGATGTTTGTAGTTTTGTTTTCTTATGTGCTATTAATTCAAAGTATTGGCCTTCTCCTCCTTTTCCAGTATTTAGTTGTTATAGGCTATCACTTTTTAATGTAAGTGAAAATTAGATAATTTGGTGATACTTATGAAAACATGATCCCAAATAAATTCAATTTATGGGCACTTCCCAGCTGAGATTTTGTTATCCTTCATCCAATTATCTTGTCAAGCTCTGCCTTGAGACAAATGTTTGGGTTTTGGTTTTGTTGTTTTTTTTCTTTT